TGGTGCTCGGCATTGTGGCGCTCGCGGCGTTCTCAGCGGCGGTGCACACGTACCCCGCAGATTTTTCGCTGACGGAGCGCGGTCTGCGCGGCGTCGCACCGCCGGTCGTGAAGCGCGGTGCGAATCTCACAGGCGGCAACGTCCCCGCCTCGCTCAAGCAGGCGCAGGCGGCCATCTACGACGGCGACTGGCAAAAGGACTTGAGTGAGTGCCCAAAGGACTCGCCGTATTTCAAGGACATAGTCCGCCCTAGTGACTTCCATGCGCGCGACAACTACTTCCTTCCCGGCGGCGTCTTCCTCGTCAACCCAGGCCACGAGAAGGACAACGGCCTCCTCATCGTGCTCGGTGATTCGCACTCGGACATGACCAAGCCGCGCCTCGCCCAGCTCTACGAAGACGCCAAGGCTGCTGGGACCGAGTCGACGTTTCCCACGATCGCGATCAACAGCTGGTCTGGGCGTCCGCTCATGCCGTGCCGCGCCGAGTACTACGCCAACTTGGCCATGATCAAGTCGGTCAAGCCCCAAGCGATCCTCCTCGTCCAGCACTACTACTATTACGTGCATCCGACCGGTCCAGACTCGCTCCCGTACGAGGCGCCGCCCCGGTGCTGCTACGACGAGAAACGTCAGTGCCCTGAGCAGTCGGTCCACGACACCAACGCCATGTGGTCGATCATGGAGAAGGACCTCAAGGAGCTCACCGACATGGGCATCAAGGTGTTTGTCGTCGACCAGAGTCCCGAGTACGAAGCCATGAACCCGTCGTCGTGGATCTCGGGCGACACGGTGACGATGCCCAAGCCCATGTACAAGTCCGAGTTCAACCGCGAGTATAAGTGGCTCCTCGACCCGCTGCATGCGATGGTCAAGAACGCCGGCGCGACGCTCATCGACTACGCCGACAACTACTCGCTCGGCGACGAAATCATGATTACCGACGCCCAAGGGTACCCGGTCATGTGCTACGGTATGCACCTCAACACGCACTTTGCCCGCAGCTACCTCACGGTGATCGACCAAGTCGTCGACGCCGCGCGCCTCCAAAAGTAATCCGAGCTTGCGCTTGAATCGCGACCAATTTAGAACCATGTATGTGTACCTTCCTCGTCATCGCATCTCTCCGCAGCCAGCATGCATATCAGAAGCAGTACTATCTCTCAAGAGTGTCCATGGCGTCGATTGAATCGCGCGGGACACATCGATGTCACAGTATCCAGCCTGTTCAACCGGTAAAGAGATACTGCGTCGGAACCAAAATGAGCTCGTCTGCTTGATAGATGTGTAGGACTAACGTTATGTGGTGGAGATGCGCGGCTGTGCAATGAAGCGCGCGAGGCTAGCACACGGCGTAAACTGTCCTTTAGCTACGACCAGAAGCGATCGTGTTCACCGACGCGCCTTGACACAACCGCTATAAATTTTATAGCGGCTGTGTCAAATTTTAGCGGTTGTGTCAAGGCGCGTCGGTGAACACGATCGCTTGTGGTCGTAGCCGAAGGCAGGCATGCTCATTTGCAGTTGCATTTTCCTGGCAGGAACGTTTACGTGGTGTACCAGCATCCCAGGGGATTAATTCGTATTTTCTGGCCAACCCATTGGCTATAATACAATCCATTTTGGCCAATGAAACGCAGTTTCATTGGTTTAAGCCAATCGCATCGCGCGAAACCTGTCCCGTGAAGTGCGATTTTGTAGTCCCTGTTAAGTGCTGTCACATCACCGGACATTATAGTTGATCAAAGTAAAACAATTGCGCTGAAGTGCGCCTGCGTACTTAACCGAAATTCACGCAACTTTCCAGTTAGGTGCGATTGCAGAAGCGCGCGAAGACTGCAGCAAGCGACGACGGCGCGTTGGCCCGGAAAAGTCTGCGCACCGCAGCGCAGCGAAGGTCGAGCGTTGACTTTTGTCTAGGC